TTTTTTTGTTGGTTTATGGATATTGTTGTGGCCACGTGTTTCGGATTTATTGGATGGGTGGTATTGCTCGAAGGATTATGGGACCCACCCTGCTTCGTGTTATCAAATGGCCTGGGATTCTGAACGTTGCCTGATTCACAGCCATTGGAATTGAGTATTTTCTTTCTTTCTTTCTTTTTTTTATTTAGGTTTAGTTTTTACCTTTTTTATATATATACATTTATTTAATTTTAATTTTTTACATTAGAAAATTAGAAAATTTGGCACCACTTATAAAGTAGTAATAACATTTAAGCGTGTGATAATGATTTGTGGCAATTTAAAATGGAGTATATTAATAAAGCTAATTAGCAATTAGCAATTTCTTTTTTTTTTTGTACAAAGAAGGAGGTCATAGGCCTAAGAAACTACGATACTAAGACTCGACGTGGGTGAGTGACCCTACGTAAATCATGGTCGACCCATGCCTCCAAACTTTGGGGAGGTGCCGAGAGTCTCTGAAAGCGAGGATAGATGTAATTTAGAAGCGAAGCAAAGTTCAGTCATAAAGGAAAGTAGGCTAATGGGGCCGAGGCCGCTAAGGTCGCCATATGATCAGCCACAAAGTTGGCTTCCCTGTGCACGTGCTGGATCCGAATGCTCCATCCTCTTCGTACTAAACTTCTAATGGAATTGACAAGCGACTCGTGGACTCCATAATGAATTTTGGGCCCGAGCACCATCTGAACTACACATTGGCTATCCACTTCCGCGACGACTTGCCGGAAGCCCAGCTCCCAGGCCAATTGTAATCCCTGAAACAAGCCCCAGATTTCGGCTCCGGTAATGGTTCCAATCCCTATATTCATTACGAATCCCTCAATCCATTGACCGAACTCATTTCGAATCACTCCACCCGCGCTACACATTCCCGTAGTGCGATTGAAGGCTCGATCTGTGTTTACTTTGATCCATCCCGGGTTCGGAGGGTGCCACTTAATCAAGCAAAGAGTGTGAACAGCCGCTCCAGCCTTCGCGTATGCCTCTGCCGCCTTCTCGTACCTTTTCGATCTACGCAGAGCCTCTAAGCAACGAGCCTCACTGTCGAGACTCTGACCCTTAAAAATTCTTTCATTTCGGTTTTTCCATGAGCCCCACGTACCAAAAGCAAATGTGTTGGCCCAATTTTTTAACCTGCCCATCTGTGCCTTGCTTAAATTGCTCCTCAGCCAAGGCCGAAGCTCCAGTTGAAAAAATTGACCCGCACAGCCGGGCGGGATCAGTTTGCTCCACATGTTCTTTGTCGTCGGGCAGTCGTAGAGGACATGCATTGTTGATTCGAGGTCGCCGCATCTGTCGAATTAGCAATTATTAATTAACCTTTGACTTATCAATTTTAGAAATGTTGCTTAAAATTTAATTGAAGAATGTCTCACGCGTGTGATAATGATTTGTGACAATTTAAAATTATTTTTGGTATTACTTGGGATTCAATCGCACAAAATCAGGATTTCAGTTTTTAATTAAAATTAGCTTTTCAGTTTTTGGTATCATTGTTACCAAATTTTTAAGAAACACACTTATAACGAAAAATATATCATTCTTGAAAAAATATTTTATATTTTGATTGCAATATCAGATTTAATTACATCTACAAAAAAAAATATTTTGAAATTTTGTTACATAATTTTAACAAAATCCAGTTAAAACAATTATTAAAAGACTCGAATATTTTTCATTTTATGTTAGTAAAAATCTAAGCAGATTGTAAAATATATCTCATTTAAATAATTCATTACTATCTTATCTCAAAAGAAGTCGGACCGAATGGAAACATCAGAAATCTTAAATGATTTTTTTAATTAGAACCATATCTTACATTTATCACAAATAATTATGACATCTATATAAGTACTCAATTACACAAATCATTTACCACATCTTTTTTATCAATCCATAATCTATAGATTCTAACTAATTTCTTTTTTTTTTCACAATATCAATATGCCGCTCGTGTAGTGTTTTTTAATTTGGTTTTCCGGAAAAACAAGCTATACTTGAATTTAAGGGTTGTTCGTATATTTGAAAGAAAATTCGAAGCCAAGTAGTTTGAAATAAATTACAATGATGAAGAGGTAATTTTTTATTTATTTATTAGCATCGAATCTATATTCTAAAGTTATTTAAATTATTAGTCTGTGGTGACGATGACTCGCCACCAAATCAAACCAAAACGTTTTTTTTTACAAAGAAGTATTCAATAATCTATGACTTTTTTAAATTGTCCAACATGTTTACATTTGTTACTTATATACCAAGTCTATTAAATTTAATATTCAATATTAAAAAAATTTTATGAAAAATATATCATCCCGTGCATCGCACGGGCCACGACTAGTTGTCAACAAAAACTCAATAACCGAAAATTTATTATATTTTTTAGGAATAAATTTTCTTTCCTCGAAAGTCTTGTTTTCACTCTTGGTATCCCGAGTTTTTTTTTATCTTAGTTAACAAGGTAGTCTAAATTATACATTATTTTAATCATATTTGGCAAAATTTCGCAGTTAACCACGATAAACAAAAAATATAAATATTGTTTTTTTTTTTTTGGTACAGAGACCTTCCGATTTCTGGATCCACAGGGAAATCGACTAATCCGGAATCGAGCCGGGTAGGATATAAATATTGTTTTTTTCAAACATGTTCTAGAAAGTACAATATTTGAAAAATTAAGGACCGCAATTATTGATCGCAATTTTTAAAATATGTATTTCTTTTTATTTGAAACTATAAAGTCCAAATGTGATTCATGAATGAAATTTAAGATACTAAAATCCATTAAATCGAAACTACAAAAAGTGAAGAAAATGAACATTGAACAGTTAAGAAAAAGGGGTTTCCCCTGCTTTTGACACACTACCATTGACAAAAATGCACCAAATATCTTAATCTTTTTAATCTACACATTTTTTATATATTACACCAAATTCTTCATCTTCTTTTATTCTTATTCCTTGCAACCTTCAAACCCCAACAACTCTGCTAAAAAATCATTCATGAATGTGAAGATATAATTCTCTTTATATATGTATTAGTATAATACTCGTGTACTACACGGGTGTTGAGTTAAAAAATATATTATAAAAGTTATTGCTCAATAAAATTTTATTTATAAATTTTGATGGATTAATTAATGAAAAAAAGATGAATAGATAGTTCAGAAAATGATTTGTAAATAGTAATTTATGAGAGAAATGTGTGAAAAATATAAGATGATAAGATTGATACTTGTCCAAATTAAGAAGAAAATTTGTAAATAACAAAATTAATCTACACTTACCAAGTTTGAAAAACGTTATTTATGTCTATACCAAACCTGATTCCAAAGCAAAAAATTAATGTACAAAAAACATCTGAAATCATAGATTTTTGCCATGTCAGCATTCGAAGCGTTTGGGAAAATCAAACACGCTTTGAATTAATATATTGGGAGGGATTAGTCTTTATAATTCATAATCCTACTTGTTTTAGAATGTCTTTGTAATCTTATATGTCATGGTTATTAATAGTTTTATATATGTCTATTTCTGGTGGTTGTGAGTAGTGCTGCAAACGAGTCGAGTGGCTCACGAGCTCAAACAGTTCAATCGGCAAACTAGTCGAACCTCGAGCATTATTTCAAAAGTTTCGTAAGCTCGACGAGTAGCTCGACTTTTTACATAAAAATCTCATATAATTTAATTATCAATGTTTACGATATACCTTGGGCAAAATCATCTATTAGATTAGATTAAAAATAATACCTTTATATTTAAAATTTAGTTGTTAAAGGAACCGATGTCTAGCCATGTCGAGCATCGAGTCAAGCTCGAGCATTCTTATTTCTTTCACAAGTCGAGTCGAGCAGCATTTTACATGGCTTGTCGAGCTCGAATATCTTCTCTGCACTCGATAAGGTCTATGCTCGACTAGACTCGTTTGTAGCCTAGTTGTGCATAAGTCATTTCTACTTTGAATTTTATCCTTTTATTTTCAAGACTATGAAAATCATAAAATATTAAAGTAAGTTAAATTATAAATATATTTTAATATTTAAGTTTCTAGATATTGGTCCAAACAGAAGTACTATTTCAATCTCTTTTTTAATACCTCCTACATATTTGTAGATGTTGTAGAGTTTGGTGAGGAAAATGAATATAACTATGAAAACTTTTTGGCTGATATGGGGGAAAGCGAAGACAAATTGCCCATGCAATGCATGCATATCGTCGTGCCTTCTAGAAAGTTTTGGCCTTTTTTATTTTTTAATAATTATTTACAACTTTCCAAATGAATAAATTATCATATAATTCCTTTTATCTTTCAAACCAGATTAATCATTAATGATGACTAGGTAGTTGGAGTCCAGTTAATCCTGTCTTAATCAGCACCGGCCATTTTACATCATATATTTTTACTCCATGATTACGACACGATGATGTACATAATTAAGCATATGTCATTTAGCATCTCTTTATTTTCTTAACTTTGAATATTATTATATATCTGAAAAAGAAAAAACGGGTCCATTTTTCTCGGAATAATGAATTCGACCTAGGGCTGGCTAGGGTCATGCACATCATAATCATATAGTATATCATATATGCAGGGGCGGATCTAGCAAATATAGTGAGCGGGGGCCTAACTATATAATTAAAAATATAACAAACTTAATGAAAAGGGCAAATGCAAAAACGGTCAAAGCTCTTATCAACAATGTAGTTCTGCAACTGATCCTCAAGAATGAGAATATCGAATATAGAAAAGTCTTGAGGATAAAACCTGATCGTCTTGACTAATTTTCACATTGATACCAAATTTCTCGTAATACATTCTTTCTGCCCAAAGATACTAGAATTTTCCGCAAATCTAATTGGATTCAATGTATCTTCTTTTGAGATATCTTCACAAGATTTTGTTGACATGAGCTTTTTTGAAAATATCTCTCAATGTTTGATATGCAAAAATAAACTTATAAATTTATAGTAAATGAAATTCTCTATTTTGACATATTACACTTTAAATAGTTGTAAACCTAAAAAAGGCTTGAATATGCAATTTTTCCATAAAAAAGATATATTTACCATTATCTAAAAAATAAAGAAGAGTAATTTTTATCTTTAC